ATTTTACCCAACCTATAGAGTTAAACCGTTTTAAGGCTTAGGGTTGAACTACATTTGGCAGCACGAAATCGCACTTTCCTGTGCTTCTATTCTTTTTGGTCACTCAGAAACGTTATTTACTAGAGCGAGAAAGAGAGCGGGAGTGTATAGTTCCACCCTCAAAAAGCCAAAAATCCATTCTAATATAATATTATAAATGTGAAAGTGTGTTTTTTTGTTTATTTGTTTTTGTCCTTCCTTTACGCAGCAACGGAATGGAACAATTAAAAAAATCGGCCAAGTGCGAGTCGAACTCGCGCACCGAGGGTTCCGAACAAATCCGTATATAAGTTCCCGTATATAATCCGGTATATAAGTTTAAAATTATTCAAAATATTTTTATTGTATGATGTAACTAAAAATTTATGCTTTTCGCAATTTTTCCTTTATCTGTGCTATAATACGTTGCTTCATACTAAATTTTAAGATTCTAAGTTCACGGGAAGGAACCTGTAGGTTTTGATTCCCTTGCGAATGTCGAATTTGCGGCATAAACGGCTGTATCTTTTGATTGCGTTGGCTTAGAAGTTTGATTTTTTCACAGCTCCAAGGGACAGTAGACTTGAGTATTTAATATGAATTTCAGCTTGATACCTCTACGCATTCCTGAGAAAAAGGCTCTTGACCGACAGACTGACAGACAGACGGACAACAAAGTGATCCTATAAGGGTCCGTTTTTTCCTTTTGAGGTACGGAATCCTAAAAATTAAACATTTGCTATCTCTTGGCCGAAGTTTACGCTTAACCCAACATACCTTTTTTCGTCATTTTACTTAGGATTGAAATATAACTAATGTCTTCGTAAAAAGCGGTAATATTTTGTGTTCTACAGTACAAAAGTGTAGTACTCTGTATATATTTAATAATAATAGATTATAAATATGACACTGAGATTATTTGTTTGTCATTATTTATTTATTTAAGCGCTAATAATTCGTGTCTCATCTGAAAACAACAATTTGGTTGACACCATCTAAGACGATAAACTTGTAAATAACATTTTAAAATGAATAAATATCGTTAACTAAACCTTCCATTTCGATTTGTTACATGTTTTAAATTTTATCCTTCATAATGTAAAATAAACCTGTAGCAAAATAATAAACTTAATTCCAATAATTTCAAAGTTGGTACAGCATTTTCATTTAGTTTCCTTTTATTATTTGATTGGATTACGAAAACCGATTGGTCAAAATGCTCGGAACAAATAGTGCTTGTTCGTTTAGGTACCCAGGTTATATGATTGGGATCTTTTGGAAAACTGTAAAACCAATGATCTTTTTTAAACATTTTACAAAAAAGAATTTTAAATAACACCTTGGTATTATATATCAAGGTATTACTTATAGTCAAATAAAAACATCGACACTAAAGATTACAGTGAACATCACTATTATTGTCTTGATGATACCATTTTATATACTCGGAATTCCCCTTCTTATTGTTTCATAACGTAACATAATGAAATGAAAATATCTATTTCAAATGTTTTATATACAATAAAACAATTTAAATTGATGTTTTCATTTCGTTAAAAACAATTAAAGATTATTAATGTTGTTTGAAATAATATAGTTTTGCAAACAGATCACAATAATATTGATGAATTTAAGACTATTCAATAACACGATTTGGTCTTGTGTAATTAGAACAAAGAGAAACGACATTTGTCTATAATTAAGCAAAATTTAATTATGTCCTAATGGTGCAAAAGTCCTTACTATAGTATTAATACTTTAAGTTGGCAACACTACCTGCTCAGCTATATTGATCAGAATTTTCGAGATTTAATGCTTATATTAATTATTGAAATCAAAATAAATACTTAAAAATGAAAGGTAACGCCGTCTTTTTGTAAATTTGTGGTCTGTGATCTTTTTTTACAAGAAAACACACTAAAACTCGGCATTTTTGTGGAGGTCAACTCACGCTTACGACTACTTGGTAACTGACGCCGTACGCGGCGCAACTAGTTTTATATAACGGGAATGATCCGCGCTCTCGTACTTTTGACAGCGGGGAACGCTCTCCAATGTCGTCTCCTGTTAGTGGAATACTCTAAGGGCCAGACCCATTATCAGGATTATTTCCACGGAATATAAAAAACAGGAGGAAGTAGCAAACATATAACTTGTACCAGAACCACTGTCGCCAAACTCACACATTCGCTATATCAATCATTTTCACGTGATTGGCTATTAAGAAATAAAAGAAAAAGGCATAATGTTATTCCCGACTCGCTTAAGTACGAACCATAAGACCTTAAAAATGAAGATCATATTCCTTTTCATCAAAGAAGTTTCTAGAAATAATGATCAATTTCAGCTTCTTAATGTTAGATATCGCAATAATAATTTCAAGCTATTATAGGCACAAAGATAATAGTCATAAGGTTAGCTTTGCCCTATTTAACTTGCTACTACTACGTGAATTATGTTAGTGATGTAGTAACACTGCTCGAATGTGATTTGAGCTATCGATATTTAGTCAATATTAAAGTTTGTAATAATCTATGATGAAATTAATAAAATAACAAAATTTAGTGGGAATTGCCTTAATGCACTACGCATATTCCCGTAATTCACATAGTCGACTTATAATCAGTTGACTTTGATGGAAATATATTAATATTGAGCTAAATTATCATTTTTGAAATAGAAACAAGGAGTATAATAAAAAACAAAACCTTATAATATCAATGTTTATTGTCCTTGAAATAATACGTATTTATTTAAAAATTGTCATTTTGATAGTTTAATATTTAATTTTAGAAGGTGATGAATTCGGATATCAATGTATTTATCAACTATCGCCTTTATCAAATCAGTGATATGGTTGGATTCAGGAAACTCGCCTAATTGATGGTAACTAATGAAATGGAATAAATTTGTTCCAATAAACTGTCTTATTACTTTGCAGTGGTTATATGCTTATTGAATTTTGCTATATCTATTTGCTTTAAGTATATTTCAACAGTTTGGCAAATTTTGAAAACATCGTTAGAGGGATATAACAAGCCGCCTCCATCTTTGGCGATTATGAATTTATGAAAATGCTCAAAATGGTGAGTGACCAATGCCCCTATACAGATGTCACATTTAATTTTTTTTAATAAAATCCTGACGATGAAACCGGCAATATGACCTACAGTCTGGATGCCGAAATCAGAAAAATATGCACTAATTTATTGTATTTCCAAGTCATAGCTTTCTTCTTCTAACTCAGCGTAGACATCTACACTTTTGTTGATACGTTGAACTGCCGATGAACAATTTAATATGGATACGTTTTCTAAAGCAACGCAACTACCTTTATTTCTATCTATTAATTGCACGTGTGTCAGTATTTTTTTATAAGCAGATATGAACTGCCTTACTGTAGGATTATTGTTTGTTCCGCCTTGTGCTCTTATGTTGCAGAAAAAAAGTTCAAGATGGTCCTGACTTAATTTATAAAATGGTAAATATATAAGTATTTGGGCTTAATCAAGTTGGTATACAAATGTTTTAACGCTTCGATACAGCCCAAAAAACCCAAAAACCTGGTTTTACGTGGACTGTTTATCATTAAGATGCCATTTTCTGTTTTAAGATTACGGATGTAATCCGAAGCGTAATTTAAAAATGTAAATATTTTTGACGCGTCATCTTCATTCAATGCTTTTTATACCCATAAAAATGTAAATTTCTTGAATTAAAAATGTCGAAAAGATAATTACACACAATTAGGAACTCTTCAGTGGGTTCACTATCACTGAACAATTCCATTCCGGAATTTCTACAATATTTTAGAGCCTCTGCAACACTTAAGCTGAAAAACTGAGTAGCCAGCTTGACTTTCATTCGCTCGTTTTGAAAGTTGATGTGCCGGTTTTTTAATTTATTGGATAAATGAAATGTTTCTTTATACTGAATTTTATTAAGTTGAACGAGATGTCGCCAGTGAATTTTTCTGCCATCTTTTTTTATCAAAGTTTTATTGTGTTCAAATGCGTTTCGCAATAATTTAATCATATGATAGGGGTCTAAGACTGCAACTGCCGGATCTTTGGTAATAGGATGATCAAATTTAATATCTTGTTTTTCGAAGGAGCAACCAAGATGTTCTGCCATAGAAATATTTGCAGCGCAACCATCAAAAGTTAATGCCACTATTCTAACACCAGCATCATGAATTAGCTCAAGGCACTGTTTTACCAGAGTGGCACGCTGCTGTCCTGTAATGCCATCCACAAAAAAGAAGGCGACAGGTATTTTAAAATGGCTGTTAATTGCAGTAACCAAAAATACCAAAGCTTCTTTTGCCTCTGCCAAGTGATCACCTTCTAAACCCGTTCCCATATCAACATAGCCGCGAAATTTATGTCCGTCCCATTCAATTCGGCGGCGAATGCTCATTTCGTCAAGGACTAATGTGGCTAGCAGTGGCTGTTGAAGTGTATCGGCTTTAAGTTTTAGAGCCGTAAAAGACTCTTTGGTAAATCTGGCTCCCCGCCTATTTTTAAATACCACTTTTTTAGAGTATGTGAATGTGGTAGGCAAGCATGAAATATTTTGCGTACGTAGTAGTATGCTCTAGGCGAGTAATGATGCAAGGTTAGAGCGAAGCTGCGGAGATCTGCAGAATATTTTTGTCTTGATACAACTCCAGAGTCAGCATTTTTAACTTCTCGAGCAATTAATTCTTGAATCTGTAACTAACCAGCATTAGTACGTAACCATGTTTAGTTACGGCAATGAATAGTACTACCCCATCTATTCCCGTGAATGATGATATGACATCATATGAGTACCATAAAAATAACAGTCAAGTAATTATAGTTTATAATACATACCTTTATATTGGTATTTTTTAAGTTGGCTAGGTTTTCCTTCTCCATGGAAAATTTATTTTGTAATGCTTTTAATAGTTTTTCAATACTTGTTATTTTCTTCTTTAATCTTCGGTTTTCACTTTGTGATCACTTTATATTTAAATTCTGTTTTTTAACTTTTTCTTCGGACCATCTTAACATACATCTTAATTTTTGTTTTCTTGGCGTTGAAAACGTTGAACTTCCCACGCCTTCGTTGACTCCAACAGTTTTAACTATTGGATGAGTTTCTGGTGCCACGCAATCCTGTTCATTTAGCATTTTACTGTCTGGAATTTGCGAAAACATGTAATTCCCATTTTGTTGGTTCCTATCGGAGGTTTTGTTAGGTAGAACTACTTTTGTTTCTACAAAATTTTCTGCAACTGGCTCAAAATTTTTAGCTATATCTTCGATGACTTTACAGCCTATATCTTTTAAATACTTCGATTTCACTTTTTCTTCGTTAATGTTATTATCATTTAGAATACGAGCTTTATTAGTAGGCTGAGAATCAAAAATATCCAATTTAATTTATCTTTTTGAAGGCCCAACCATTGCTGTGACAATGCAATGTTTATTCTGAAACAGAAAGGATTCAGTATGAACTATCTCACATTTTATCGCAAACAAAATAAAAATAAAAAACCGCTACATTGAAGTTTCGTTTTATATATTTTTACATTAAGCTTTCAAAACTTATTACTACTTAATATATGAACTAAAATAGTCTGGATTAACTTACTTCAATATAAGACAAAATCTTTTTTGTAGGCACTGACGAAGTTTTTAAATAGTGGTATCCTCGTTTCGATATTAAGAAATCACTTTCAGTAAAGTGCTCCGAGCATATGCTGCTACTTTTAAATGGCAACCAGTTTTGCCTGCCAGTTGCCTTAACCCAAGATTCCTTGATCGAGCCATCTTTAGGAAACCTGAAAACGCACAACAGGTTGTTCTCATTGTAAATGATTATTTACAAATTAATAATGCGTTATTTTTATGAGTAATACTAAGTTACTTACTTACTTCTCTGGTTTAACAACCCTAATAAAATGTTCATTCATAAGGTGACAGTATCACCCTATAATTTCTTATATTTTCAAAGACATCCAGTATTTGCAGATTTTCATTAATATGTTAGTGAATAAACGGGACGAAGATAAAAAGTTATCGATTTTAATATCGTTACAACACTATCGCAACACTTTTTATTAATAACGCTTTGACAGATAAGCCTTAGAATTACGGAATAAGGTTGAATATTCGTTGAAATATAGGCAATTTCATATTTTGTCCATGTTTATTCACGTTTTTTTGCCAAAATAAATAAAATTACACGTACCTGTGGTACGAAACACCTCCATTTAAAACATTTATATTTTTACTATTGTTTCTATACTCTAATACTGCACCAAACGGCATATTTTTGCATATATTACTAAAGCAGCGAGCCGTTAGTTCGCGACAAATTTAGCCTGCGACTGGCAGTCAATTATGTTCTACAGTCGCTAATTGTGACACGCCTGCCCCGCCCACTTTGGGCTTCCTCTTGTTTTTTATATTCTGTGATTATTTCTATTATTAACACCACTGAACAAGTAAGCATTTTGGAAAAAAGTTACTTACTAAAAGTAACCACTATTACACTGTAAAAAGTTACAAAATATCTAGGAGCTATTTCCTGCGTGCCGAATCGTGCCGATCTGTCATTCAAAATCGGTTACAGAGTCATGAGATTTGGTATCCCTTTTATATCTAGCATTTTTGCCATAAGGAATTTTCTTCTCCCTCGCACACTATGTTGGTCTATACGCCAGTATATTCTAAGTCTATGTTCCGACCCTGTTGTAAACTATGTATGTAACAAAATTAATGCTTCGTGACGTTAATCTCAGGTTTTTTTATTCGCTTAAATATAGGTTATCGTCATCTACTGTCCGCTATGTTAAACTGTTGTCAAAATCTCCTAGAAAGCATAGACATAGTATCAATCCTCTATCTACGCTAGAAAGGAGACGGTCCAAAATTGTATGAAGCGTAGGCCTAGTTTTGTACTAGTATGGAAATAAATTAAAATAAAATATTAAACCACTTTTGATCATTCAAATCCACGAGTTTGCCTTAATTTCAGTGGTATTAATATTTTATTCTCACCAAAAAATGCAACACTAATGGCGGATTGATGTCATTTTGATTAGACGTTAGCTGTCATCTCTGAAATATACTCATATCACCCATAGCCTATCAGGTAGATTTATTATGTAAAATAGCTAAAATGCTTAGATTAATGATAGGTCTTCGCGCGTTCAGACTAGATACCGCCGGCGCTCTTGTAAAATGCGGCAACAAATACTACGCCGAAATCGGCGTACCTGAGCCAGTCGCATTGCAGGCGATATGTGATGTGGACGTACCGAATATTTTATAAAATTTTGATCATAATCCGAAGTAAAATACCAGTTTGCGTAGTGAAACTGTGTAAAAATAATATTACAAGAAATAAGAAAGACACTGGGATCACATACTATCAGTAAGTATCATACAATTTCGAAATTTCAACATAAAATAACACGAGCCATAAATAAGTTACAAAATATGAAAGACGCCATTCAATGTTGCCGCGTATACAAAAATAAAGTTCCCCGTGGCTGAGAGTTTTATATGTGAATTTATTTTACTAGATATATTTTATTTTATATTATATCTAACTTATTATAATATAACCTAATTCTATATTATTTAATGTTTATTTTTGTAGTATTTCTCAAATGACCTAATATTTATATGTTGTTTTATTAATTGTTATTTTTATTATTAAAACATTATTTCCGTTTATTAGGGTTCCGTGCCCAAAGAGTGTCAACGGGACATAAGTTTCCACTATCGTTCCATCTGTCAGGCTGTATTTTATGAACCGTAATATGTAGATTTTAACAGTGGTAGAGCCACGCGGCAGCTTTTGCTGTCGCACGGATGGGCCGGCTCGAACCGGGGTAGTACCACGACCTCACAGAAAACCAGCGTGAAGTAGAGGTTTACCTTTGCGTTTCGCTTGGTGAGTGCAGGTGGCCGGAGGCCCTTTTTACTGGAAATGAGGCATTCCATCTTAGTCCTCACGGGTGACAACGCATCTACATTTTGATTTGTAACAGAGGATAGATGTAGATATCTATGGGCCGCAGTAACCACTTACCATCAGGTGGACTGTGTGCTCGTTTGTCACCCTTATCCTATAAAAAAAAAGATACTTGAAATTTTCACAGAATGTGTATTGGTTATTATTGCTATAACAACATATAATAAAAATAAAATTTTGGTTACACCATACAATATATAACTATTTTTTTTAAATAATTTGTGAATATTAGTCAGACATTTAAATATAAAAGTTAAACTGATAAAAATGAGGCCTTATCATTTATATGCCATTTATTTAGAAGAAAAAACCTATACATAATATACACAAATATATTGATACATTCGCTATTAATAAATTATTCATTTTTAAGTATTTCTGGTCTACATTCATAACTATGAACTTAACTACTAAGCCTTAGCATAAATTAATTTTTCCCGTTAATCGGGTAATAGTTAAGCTGCTGGCATATACAATTTTTCACGCACACTAGCATCCTTGCAATTGTCTTATACACACTAGAATATTGAGTTGCCGCAGTCACGGAGCTGTTTCTTTCAAGTAGCGCGGTATCTAGTCAGAGCGCGCGATGACCTATCATTAATCTATGCTAAAATGTTTCGAAACTAGTAGGAAAATAGGGCAAAAAAGTTTTATTTTTTGATCAAAACACGAATAAAGTGTATTATAGATTGTGTATGTGCTTTTTTGGTCTTAAAACAACTAACGTTCTTGTTGATATTTGCATATCATAAATGCAGTTCAGGAGAAAACAAATGTAAAAAGTACTACCTAATTCCAGACAAGAAGATTGTTGAGATAAGTCAACGGTGCCTACGCACAAAATTATTTTATTGCATTCATTAGTGTGTACTAATGCACACTTCAGTGCCAGGGGCATCCAGGACATTTTTTGTTTTACATGGGGAAATGAGGCCTATGTATTTTGTTAGTTTTTACAAAAATTTTGTGCCAGATAGCTCAAAGCCGAGATTATATGTGAATAGCGGGTAACTCTGTTTCTCTACCCTAAAAAATCCACCCTGAGATACTACTTTATTGCACTAATAATAAAGAATATATTTAACTTATTATGCCTTAGAGTGGCTGTTTTAAGGAGGATAAACAGAATAATCCTGAATACTAATTTCTGTTCAGGTATAAACGTCTATCTGGGCTGCTGAAGGGCTATATAATTTATTTGTTATAATATGGTACATTACAGTTGTTACAAAAGAATTCGCATAAATAAAAATAAATATTTGCCATTTCCGGCGTACAAATATTTTCATATAACAGGTCCTCAGAGTATGCCTTGAGCCTTGACAGACATTTAAAGCTTGGATAATGTCATAACAAAGGTTAACAGTCCTATGAATTATGGAAAGTGAAACATTAGGTCAATCATGTTTTGGATACTTAATGTAATATAAATAAAACAGCTTAATTTTTTTTTATTTATTTATCCTACTTCAAAATCCTCTCTTACTAAAATGCCATCCAGAATTGTGGCCGGTGCGGTTATGGAATTTTGATACCGAGCCGAACCCAAATAGCAGACATTACGTGGGCACATCAACCCACTGTCTGTTGTCCAGAAGTGCAATTGCAATAATAACCTGCAATCATCTCATCCCAACTTGTCCCTTGTCTCGCCAACAGTATATATGTATAATAGGCTCTGCTAGGGATGTGAAAAAATAATCGATTTTCATATTAATCGATTATTTTTTTCTTATAATCGATTTTTCGAAGTCGATATTTTTATAATAAAAATCATTTTTTAATAAATCGATTTTTATGTAAATTACGCGTTTCAATCGATTTTTGTAATCAGAGTCATCTGTGCGATGGATGTAAAAACGTGAAGTAAGTTCAATAACATGAATAAGTCAATCAAAAGACGGCGCCACCTTTATGTATCTCTATGTATGTAAAACAGTTTCGCTTTTCGTATGTTTTTAACAGGTTTCTTCCTCCGTTAGGAGTAAAAGTATTCTATGGTTTTCTTTCTTTCTTTGGTTAGTGTAAACAATTATATATAAACAATAAAAATGTCTTGTGAAACGCATAAAAGTGACTGACAGAAGTATTTTATAATGAAAAAATGATAGCGGCGAACACGTCAATAGGCAAAAATACTGAATTGGATCTATATATTGCGGCACCACTATCAAATCTCAAGGCAGATGCCCTCAATATATGGAGAAGCTCTGAAGGAACTTTTCCTAAACTAACCGAATTGGCTTTTAAACACCTCTCAGTGATGGCCAGTTCCGCGCCAGCCGAAAGATTATTTTTGAAAGCGGGAAATATTGTCAGGAAAAAACGAAACCGTATTTTGGGAAAGAGACGAAGAAGAATTTTGGTGAAATAATTGTTTTTAAAGTCTTTAACTGAAAATTCATGGCAATATTTTTTTTACTTTTTTGTTTATACAAGTTTAAAAAAAGATTTGTCTTGTATTTTAGTTTTGAGATCAAAAGGTTGTCGTCGGATTATTTATAATTATATTTTTATTTTATTTTCATTCTAATCCAATGTAAATGATACTGAACATTAGTGGCATAATGATATTTAGACTTTTTGTCTGTTCCAACTTAGTTTAAAAAAAACTATCGTTTACTAAAATTATGGTTTCTTAATGATTTCTTATATTTACGTGAAGACTACACATTAAATTATATTAATTTTTACGGATTTGATCACGCTTAATTTAACTTTTTAATTCCTGACGTTTCGGGTGCTTCACAGCACCCATGGTCACGGGGGGAACTGAGGTCTTTGACGTCCAGATGTCATAGTTAGCCTGGCTAAATTCAGTTTTTGAATATTAATTTTTGGTCCGATCTACGCAGAATGAGCTTACAGTATTTTGAAGTCTTACAGTGATATGCTTGGGTTTGGATTTAATTTTATTAATTATAGGATGCCAAGCAGATGGCAGCACCCATCCATCTTCTCTATTGAAATTAGAATGTTTTTTAATTTCGATAGCCTCGCGAATCATCCTTGGTAGGAATCGGTGTTCTTTTGCGAGGATTTGTGGTTCAACTATGACATAGGGACGCCAGTCCCCTCTGTGACCATGCGTGCTGTAAAGCACCTGAAATGTCGGGAATTAAAAAGTTAAATTAAATGCGATAAAATCAGTAAAACTTAGTTTAATTTATCGTTTCTGTTTATTTCGGTTGTAATAAATTGTTAAATGGCACTGAACATTTGTGGCAGTAATTATTTTTAGTTTTTTATTGTTCAAAGTTATATGTTAAAAAAAATTGTTCTGTAGTTTATTTCTAAAACCAGAAGATTATTTTTCCAATAAATTTTTTTTTTTTCGCAAAAATCGATTATTTTTTTATAAAAAAATCGATTTTTCTTAAATCGATTATTATCACAAAGCAAAAAATCTATTTTTTATTAATCGATTTTTTTCACTCAATGTCACATCCGTAGGCTCTGCTCGAGTGATGGCGAGATTATATACGGCCTCTTATTAAAACAGAGTCTTCTTGGGATGACATTAATTGGGTCACCACTTGTCTGCTACCCAGTCTTCGTTGACACCAAACATACAATATACTGATAGTATTGGCATTAAGGCGCTGGAGCTCAATTTCGAGATTTGTGCCGACAGATAATTCTTGTAATACGTTTGCAAAACATTGTGAACATATTGGTGCATTTTCATCCATCTAGAACAAAACAATCTTATTTTAATAAACTAACTATACACACCGGCACAATTAGCGGAACAGAAAAAAAAATGAGACTATGAGATAATAACGCATATATTTGACGAAAATGTAATTAGACACAAAATAACAAATTGATTAACATCTTTTAACAACGACTTTGAAAAGTCTTCGTTATTTTTTATTGAAAAATAAAGAAATTTGAAATAAGTGAAATTTTTAGATGATTATGAACCATCACAAAAAATAAAAAAAGTAAGCATTAAATGATTTAACAATAAAATTAAAGCAAAATTAATAACGAGTGTTTCCCCCTCTTGCTCTGATTACGGTTTCCATTCGTCTGGGCATGCTACAGATTATGTTATCGATGATTTCTTGAGGCAACCGCTCCCACTTCTCAAGTAATGCGTTTCCAAGTTCATTCAGATTGTTGGGAGGTGGCATTCTGGATTTAACCCTTCTCTTTAGCAAGTCCCAGACATGCTCTATCGGATTCATATCGGGGGAATTTGCTGGCCACTGCATCACCGGTATACCTACGTGGCTCAGATATGCCTGTACCGATTGTGCACTATGAGCACGAGCATTATCTTGCATTAGAATAAAGTCGTCACCAATAAATGGGGCAAATGGTACAACATGTTCTTCTAAAATGTCTCTGATGTATCGATCTGCTGTCATGGTCCCTCCTGTGACTATCACTAACTCCGTGCGAGCTCCCAAACATATCCCTCCCCAAACCATAATCGAGCCGCCACCATAAGCCACTGTGTGTTCAAAATTAGACTGTATGTGGCGTTCTCCTTTGCGTCTCCATATTCGCTGTCTCCCATCGATCTGTTTTAAAAGAACTCTGCACTCATCAGTAAAGAGAACCTGCTGCCATTCGTTCAAATTCCAATGACGATGTTCTCGCGCATAGCTTAATCGATTTACGCGGTGACGTCTCTCAAGTTTTGGGCCTTTGGCAGGTATATACGACCCTAAACCAACTTCTTCAAATCTCCTGCGAACTGTACGCTCACTTACTCGTACTCCTCGAACGTCTTCCAGTTCATTTCGAGCTTGTAAGCCGTTGTACAGCCGTTAATCGCGTATTCTTACGAACTCCAAGTTGTAAAAAACTGTCATCTCGCCTCGATGTACATCTTTTTCTACCTTGACCCCTCCTCCTCACAAGAGAATTAGACGATTTGTACCGCTGGATGCTGCGATGAATCGTTGATACTGGTCGACGAAGCCTTGAGGCAATCGATCTGTAGGTATGGCCATTTCTTCTCATTTCATCAGCCCTAATGATTTCCAGTGATGTTAAGTCAGGCATAATAAAGAGCTTTTAATAAACAAAATTGCCTATAGAATAACAAATTTATAAAAAACCATTAAGTGCAATTTTTCAAAAAAATTACAATTACGTAGTTATTACTCGAACAAGTTGACAAAACGTATTGTTCGGGAAAATAAAACAAATGAATGAAAAAAGTGTATGTCATCTTATTTTATATTTTTAAATTTGACAATAAATTAAAAAAATATCATAACTGGCCAGTTCCTCAAGTAAAATATTTTAAAATCCTGCTTTTTTTGTGTTCCGCTAATTGTGCCGGTGTCTATATATTGCAGAAGCGGGTTTTAAACAGTGCAACATGATTTAACAGGTGAACAGAAAGATAATTACATCATATTAAGATTTTGCTGCGATTATGAACTTATGTAGAAATTAATAATTATTAACAGACGATAGAGAGATAGAAGCATGTCATTCAAATGCGTTTAACTTTCTTTAGTACTTACCTGCATACTGATTCAAAATGTGATTCTACAGAAAACAGATGTACGATATCAACGAAATCAAAATCTCACGTAGATCATTAAGTCCATACAACAAGAGCAGAATCAAACAAGTAGTAACTGATCCAAAGTCCAAACAACAAAAAATCGCCAAAGAAATCCACAATATCATTTTACAGAAATGACATGTGACAAATAACTGTGTCTTTTTTACTTTTTAGGGTTCCGTACCTCAAAAGGAAAAAAACGGAACCCTTACAGGATCACTTTGTTGTCTGTCTGTCTATCAAGACCCTTTTTCTCAGAAACGCGTGGAGGTAACAAGCTGAAATTCATATCAAATACTCAAGTCTACTGTCCCTTGGAGGTGTAAAAAAAATCAAACTTCTAAGCCAACGCAATCAAAAGATACAGCAGTTTATGCCGCAAATTTTCGACATTCACAAGGGAATCAAATCCTACAGGCTACTTCCCGTGAACTCAGAATCTTGAAATTTGGTACGAAGCAACGTATTATATATAGCACAAATAAAGGAAAAATTGCGTAAAGCATAAATTTTTAGTTACATCATACAATAAAAAGTTTTTTAATAATTTTAAACTTAAATACCTACGGATTTGTTCGGAACCCTCGGTGCACGAGTCCGACTCGCACTTGGCCTGTTTTTTATGACTGGAAGGGCACCATCTTGTAAAACCATCAAAAACTTGGGATTGTATTTTTATTTTTAGCAAGTTATTTAGTTTGATTTATTCTCTCATTTTATTTTTAACAAAATCCCTGAATTTTTCTCTTTCTTACGGTATACTGTACATAGTCTGGGCAAGAAATGGACCGTCTCCTTTCGTAATGTAACGCATCAGCATAATTATAGTGAAGTTTTATAATTTTATTAATGAAATATCTACAAATCAGACAAGGTTGTATGGTTTTAGACCTTTGCCTGCCACAATTGGCGAATCATAACAACAACAAAAGTAAATGTCATGTCAGTAGTCAGTCCGCAGTGTTTCCACTTTTAGGGATTTCGCCCTTTTTTAGGACGAAATCGCTCATACCATCATAATCAACTCATAATCAACCATACTTCAATGGTTTAGGGCTAATTTACATTTTTAGGGATATGAGCTAATTTGGGGTAAAATTGAATAATAAAAAGAATGTAAAGGTGGTAACACTATTTTAACATAGACTTCGTCGTTCCGAAGTTTCCTAACACATTATTATTCGATAAATTACTATAAGGTAATGAGTTGTTTTCTTTTTTCATCTTCTCTTTTGACACCTCACACAGACAAAGGACCTTTAATGAAAGGAAAAATACATGCAAAAAATTGAAAGTTCATGGCTGGAGAATCCAGATTTCAAGAATTGGCTGAAATGATCAAATAAAAGAGAAACTAAAGCCTATTAAATCAAATTAACTTTTACACATTCTATCGAATTTAATTTATATGGGTGGGGAATAAGGTTGCTATACAGCACCCTCAATCCCCACCCATACGAGGTCACGGGGGGGATGAGGTATTTGGCGTCCCGATGTCATAGTTAGCCTGGATTTCAATAGCCTAGCGAAACATCCTTAGTAGGAATCGGTGTTCTTTTGCGAGGATTTGTGGTCTATCAAATCTAATGTAATGGTGGGGACGATCTTGAATATGTTTACAAACTGCAGACTTCCCAGAAAGTCGGTACTTCAAGTCAGCTATATGTTTGGGTTTTTATATATCTTTTTGTTTGTCCTGTGTAAGAGAGACCACATTCATAATCCAGCTTGTACACTCCTGCATCTTGTAGAGGGATATGACACTTGACGGATTGTAAAAATTGACTAATCTTCTTCTTCGGCTTGAGTTATGTTTTAATGGAAGCTCGCTTCAAGACATACGCAATATTGTCTGTCACTACTCTGACATAAGATAGTACAGCAGGCACTCGACTCGACTGTGGCCAGCTTCACTCAGTCAGCCTATGGTTAACTGCGATATTATGTCAGAATTATTAAGACATCAAATAAATGCCAAACACGTTATACAGATGGCCATTATATCAAAATGTGGTAATAAGTCATAGTTCTGAAGTAGACACCTGAACCATATTAATAAGGTTTTAAAAATGGAACTAAAGATATACGGTTTTCCGGTAATGTCTACTTCTTCTCTTGATTAATTGCTTACTACACAAGTAATAAACGATTTATGATCGTGGAAAAAAGTTTAAAGTTACAGTCTTAATATGTCCCACTGCTAGGCACAGGCCTCTCCTCATTTCTGAGAGGGTTTTAAGGCAAGGAAGTGTTCGCCGCGCTGCCCCAATGCGTGTTGGCAAACTTCACATGTCTTCGAAATATTTTTTTTTCTTTTTCCTCATACATGCAGGTTTCCTCACGATGTTTTCCTTCACCGCCAAGCACGTGGAAAAATGCTTTATTAGAATAAAAAAGTGATGTTTTTGTTTCATTTCTAAATCTTTAAATTTTACGTCCTAAATCAAGGATTTTCGGAGACTAATTTGAGGTATTTAGGGCAATTGTCAAAAAAAAAATCTAGGGCACAATTAAAACTGATAGTGGAAACACTGGTAGTCAGTTGTCACTTTTCACACTTCTACTTTAAAATTTCCTACTTTTCTATTTCTACTATATTTTGAAAGCACAAAGTAGGAACACTCACACAGAATGATATTTATTTTACGTAATTTTTAAGGTTGAAATAATTTAATTTCTTTGTCATTATTTTATATTCCTGCTAGAGTAAATAGTGTTCGTGTACATATCGTATAGGAGAGGCTTGGTACGATTCTTATGTACTCCTTAATCATATATTAGTAAGATTAGTTGTTTTTCTTTAATTGAACAAATGAAATATTGTGAATAAAATAAAATAGAACATCATATTTCAGAGAGTTGTTGCATAATAATTAGTTAAATAAACATTTTCAGTTAAATTGCCAAGTGTAAAGATGTCTTCCGATACGGCACAAGTCAGTTCCCTGCCACTACCACCAATGCAGTATATAAATTTTTACACGGATGAAAATGTACGAAGAAATAGAGCACCTCTACCCCCACGTCCAATACATGATTCTTATTCAATGTTTGGACATGCATTTAATGCTGATGATACAATAATAAGGTCTCTAGAAAGTCAAGTAAGTGACAGTATAAAATATAATGAATTGTGGTGATTTTTTTAACATTTTATAATATTATTTTAATAAATTTTGCTACCTTATATTTTAATATTTTTATTGTATACATCAATTGCTTTTAGGGCTTTCGTCGGTTATATCCAATGCATTTTGAGAGGCGACGAGAATTAAAGAAATTAAATCACTCTTTACTAGTGAATTTTTTAGATCTTTTGGATTTACTTGTTCATTGTCCTGATTCACCAAAAAGAGCTGAAAAGGTTGAAGATCTGAGTTTATTGTTCATACACATTCATCATTTATTAAATGAATTCAGACCACATCAAGCTAGGGAGACATTGAGGGTAATGATGGAACTTCAAAAACGACAGCGTGTGGAAACTGCTATGCGGTAACTTAATTTTTTAATTATACTAATTTTTAATTAGTACCTGTATAACTAAAAATTATTTTGTCTACAATGACCCATCTAGATAAACTTGGAAAATAAAACATGTAAATGCAAAATTTTAACAAAATTGTTAGAGCTGTTTCTGAGAAACCAATTACATTTACTTTTAATTTAATTTCTTGTTTAAAGTATTTAGATTGATTAAGACCACATGGCCCAATTGTCTAAGTACCTCGTTACTATCTCTTGCCTTGCCTTTTATCTAACACTAGTGATCTGCCCCGGCTTTGTACGGGTGATTTCTGGATCTTGACAACAGCGCCAACTACCGGGTTCATATGTAAATATAAACCACCCAGGGACTCATTCAAACACAAAAAAATTCATCAAAATCGGTCAAGCCATTTTTTAGTTATTGCGAGACTAATGGACAGAAATTAATTTTTATATATACAGATTAATGTTAAAACAAATTGTTGGTTTTCAGATCTATTTGTGATAGCCCATGCCTAGGATACTACTTAGCTTACCTCCAATATTACTTGCAGATCTTAACTGATTCGTTATGGCACTGATTTTCGACAACTTTTAGCTGTGGCGGCGAACAAATATTTCATGACACGCCTTTTGTGCCATCAGCCATATGTAAAAATAATTATCTTTTTATTCTTTTTTCACTTGTTTAGGCCTAATTAAGTTTAGTTGACATCAAACATCGGTTACAATCGGAAGGATACTTGTTTTTAGTGGGTAACTAGTGGATGTTTTCTTTGAAATTGATAGTAAGTGACTTTTTTATGCAGAGATTACAAACCTTTCGTATTATTTTTTGTTTTATAAAAAAATCATTTATATAAGTAGGCACAGCTAAATCACCCTGGAAAACCGTGGTTTTTATTAAATTAAATTTTTACTTAATAATAACATTTGTAAATATCAAACAATTAAGAACCTTAATTTGGAAAAAATAAGGTTTATGATTACAAATGTTAAATATTATTTAATGTTATATAAATGTAAAAGTAAAGTCGATCTGAAAACTTCTAATTAGTAAGAATAGCAAAACAAGTGTTTTCAAAAGGGAGAAAACGCCGGTGCTATACGGCGGCGGATTGACAAAAGACTATTTATTAGCGAACTTTTTTTATGCATGAACGGTTTCGAACTGTTTCAAGCAAAAATAAACCTTACATATCACAAGAGCACATGGTACTTCGTAGGTCTATTCGGCCATGTGATAGTAATAAGACAACAGTTCGCAACAAGCAGAAACGCATTGTTTTTTTTTTAACAGGAGACGTGTTTTCCAGAAATTTATTTACAACTTGAGTTTGTGAGCGATCGCAATGACTGCTATTATTTGTTACTTATTAGACTATTTTTCCACAACATGATTTAAAACCCACAAAGTAAAAAGAGTACCATGTACAAGTTAAAAACAGGTTGTCAACCCCTAAAAATTTCAAATTTTCAAAATATCCAGAAACGAAGCTGTAGGCAAGAACTACTTGCAAAATAATGACTATAATGTTCTGGATAAATCTTCCAAAAAGGCAATTTGAGCGAGTTATAACGATTTTTAAAACGACACGATTCGCGTGTCATACGCCACACACAAAAATAATCGATGGCGCGCCTAGCGTGTTATCCGCACTGAACCGGTTAACATACTGCAATACATTGGTAGGTTAAAATAAGTAGGTGTTTGTGTATTCACTTGAACATTACAGTAATATTGTATGCATGTTTATAATCAAAGCATTTGTGCTGTTGATAGCTTGTAACTGTATATTTATTCTAAATTTTTTTTTTAAATCTACTTATAATATTGATAATAATAAATATGTAATTTTTTATAGGATAAGGGTAGCAAACAAGCACACAGTTCAACTGATGGTAAGTGATTGTGGTGACATAGACATCTACATCTATCTGCGATTACGAATGTTACAAATTGGACGCAGGCACAGAATATACAGAATAGGGCCCCACATATATGCAATAAATGAAACCACATACTTGTTATCGGCTTTGCTGACGATATACAAATGAACAAATGAACGTAATCGGTCCAGTAATTAAGTCAAAAAGTAGAGTTTTAATTTTAAGCAAATTTGAACTCTATAGAATTGGGTCACTAAGTCAATGATTCAATGAACTTGAATCCTTGAACAAAAGCGACGTTGCCACGCAGTGCAAACTATTGGTATTGCGACGTATCGACAGCGGTGTCTTTTGTGGGCGTCCATAAACAAGCAGCACGAGGCACGCGGCGTACTTAAAAGGCGACGGTGCAAGTGCGCGCGCGCCTTTGTCGTAGAGTAGGACACCTGTTATCGACGATTAGCTTCTTTCAAAGGAGTAATAATCGATAAAAAAAATGTTTAACTTTAAACACTTAGGCTATGGTTTTTTTAGAATTATCGTGTTGTTATGATAAATCTAAAAACACTACGACCTAAGTATTTAAAGCTTTTTTTGTTTAAGTGTGTTCTTGTAGATTTAGAGATAATAAATTATTTTAACATGATAAAATACCCATAAAAACAACCAATTAAAAAAGTCATACATACTTACCCGTTTCCCAGGAAGTCATAAATCGGTAGTTTCGTAAGTTCAATTGTACAAAAATAAACTTTTTTTTAACAATCAATAACTTGTCGATTGTTATCTAATCAAAAATCACAATTACTTTTATTCAAATGTAGTAGGTAAGTAAGTGTAAAAAGAAAAGTATCGATAAACGATAATTGCACCTTGTGGCCGCCCTATTTATTACTTTTATTATTTTCGCCATTTTGGAATTTGGAAGTTTGGCTCCAGTTCACGCGCAATTTTTCCAGAATACAGGTGCGTTTCGCTGCTTACACGCATCGTAATTATTTATCGTAATATAAATACAATTAGTCAAACAATTTACGGTGAAATAGACACTTATTAGTTAATTGACTTTGTGTGTGTAAATAGTGTTTTTAAGTTCGTTTATTTTTATTATTTTTTCACTGTGATATTGATCCGCGCCCGCGTGCAACGTTGTCACTCTTCCAAGGGGTCAAGGTACGTTGTCTAAACAGTGTTTACTTTTACTGAATTTATTTTAATATTTATTTTGTTTGAAAATTTCACTTTTTAATTTTATGGGTTTTAAATTAATATTTAAATTTTCTACACTTCTATGGACTAGTATTACTTGTGGTTTCATTTATTGCATATATGTGGGACCCCATTCTGTATAATAGTACTAACTTACAGAAGTTGCACTCTTTTGATGTTTAATGCTTGCCGACGTTTTAATAGCCTACATACAAAGATGTTTTATAGACATAGTTATTATTAATCAGATAAATCGCGCACGCAAGCTAAATAAAACTTTATCGCTGTGCGCGAGGGTCCGTATTACTTTGCATCTTTTCTCCTTACTACGTCACAACGGACTTTCCGTGGTTGCTAAGGGCTGTTAATAATGAGTAAAAAAATACATTGTGAAATGGTAAGTTACTTAGGTAAAGTACCTATGCTGAATATAATCGACCATATTACCTACTATGTGAGTTCTGTGATGCCCAACGCATGCAACTTGCAAGGAAAATAAACCTGAAAAACGATTCCTAACAGATGATATGATCGTAATCTACTTACTTAAAAATCTTTAATTTTTTTTTTAATTTTTCTCTTTTTTAAAAACGTTACCCCCACACTAGGATTTTCTCCTGTATCGTGGAGGCAGTTTACAAACACAAATTTCACAAGGACAAACATCCAGACCCGGAACAATCATTTGTAGGCCATACAAATACTTGTTCCGTGCGGGATTCGAACCCGCGCCCCCCAGCGCAGCAACTCATTGCTAAGCCACTGCGCCACGGAGCCGTCTTGCAAACAAAGTTTTAATTTCAGTATTTTGTGCTATTGTAACTTAAAATATTTTAATTACAAAGACGAGTATAGGTATGTAAGTAGGTACTTGGGTAGTGAACTAAATTTCAACTAAGTTTTGTAATAAAGTACTTAGGTATTATTTCTGTAGTTAAATTGTTACTTAATTATGCGCTATAAGTACATATCTAACAAAAAAATGAAATAAATTTACCTTTCGTTATCCTTCGGTAACTCAAAAAATGATATATCTGAAATCCTTGTAATTGCTCATTAAGCATCCATTCCCGCAACAATTATAGTAGGAACGACGTTTTGCTATTATAATTTATCAAATAGATAGGTAATATACATATATATATATTATTCTTATATTACATTAAAACTTTTTCAACTATTTTACCCTACAATTAAATATACTTGTCGGAGCGTCTATAAATTATCACTTGGATCGAGGCGGACAGGAGGGTATATCGAGAAACCCCCGCTTGTTTGTGCAGTATAAAGTTCACTGTAGGCACCGTGCGCGAGAGATTCCGCTTAAGTCATTCAACGGGTGTGGTCATTCTACTAGTGCTAAGATAGTGTCGTGGTTGTTCGTTGTTGTAATTCTTCTAGTGCAGGCAAGGAGGATTGGTGTTGCTGAGGACTGAGATAAGTAGTGTTGCTGTTGCTGAACATATTTTGGTGTTATCGTGTAATTACGTACCTCGCGTTACACTGGTGTGTGATTGTGGCGGAGACGTGTTACATTGTGGTCGAACTGTAATTTCACTATACTGAATGTATAGTGCGTTAAGTTGTCTTATTACTGATAATGATTAACTGCGTAAGCAAGAGAGCAAGTTGAACATCCGCTCTCACACTTTTATTATATTTAACAATTAATGCTATCCTGATGTATTTCCGAGATCAAAATTGGGATCCTCTATTGTAATCTCCGACATCAGAAGTGGGACCTCCTGTTGTCATTTCCGATATACTTTAAACACTAAACAAAAACTATTTCGACGAGTATTTCAACAAGTATTTACAAAAAAATTATTTACGTAAACATCGTTAAAAACACTTTAATATTCAATCCTATAGAGCGCGCTAGCCCCGACTGCGATCTACCCCTAGGGCAGCTCGCGACTGTAGGTAATTATTTCACGCATGTAGCAAGAGTGACAGAGGCCTGACGCAGGGCGAAAAGCAAGCGTCATATATTCTTAATGACATGGTCCTATAAATCCTTCTTTATCTCTTCTACTAAATAATATTATTATATTTTGCAGATTCCAGAAACACCTGGACAAGGTTCAAGATATATTGCAAAACGCACTTCAAAGTCTGCCAGATCAAAATGAAATTGAATCAAATTTTAAAGTACCTATAGAGATCCTGGAACACATGGATTGCAGTCCTAGTGACAATGCAAATGCAGATTCTTGCTATGAACTTGACCGTATTATGTGCAGTGTTATTGATAACATGAGATAGATGAATTTATTATATAATATTATTTTTAATTCAAACAGATTTGGGAGTTTTCAACTTTTTACATTAGTGTGCATATTTCTCACATGTCAACAATATTTAAATGAAAAAGTTAAGTGCAACAAAGTGGCCATCACTAATTTTTGAAATATAATTTATTATATAAAATTATTTTTAATTCAACAGATTTGGGAAACCTCAACATGTTACATTAGTGTGCATATTTTACACATGTCAACAATATTTAAATAACAAAGTTTATAAATGTGCAACAAAATGGTTGCCAAAATTTTTCAAATATCTTACATAAAACTTTTTAAAAATGGTAAAAGAAGGAGGCTAGAATAGTAAAAGAAAAAGACAGAAGAGTGTTATAGGTTACTTAAGTTACTTTACTTATGATATTGCAGTTATGTTGAACTGGCCAGTTTAAACTACAATAGCTGTGGTTTGACTTGGAATTCAAATAAATATTATATTTAAGGCATGTTATAATTTATCATATTTTTGACACTTTATGGAACTCAGCTAAGACTATAAAACAATGTACTAAATAAGTTAACTTAATTTATCATTCAATATTGAGAAGTGAATGAGTGTCCATACTTTTTAATTGCAGACTGTGGGTATTGCATTATTTTATGCAGAGATTACAAACCTTTGGTATTATTTTTGGTTTTATAAAAAAATCATTTATACAAGTAGGTACAGCTAAATCACCCTGGAAAACCTTGGTTTTTATTAAATTAAATTTTCACCTAATTATTTATTTGCGAACTTTTTTTATGCCCTTAGACCCTTTTTACTGGAAAAGAGGCATTCTATCTTAGTCCTCATGGCCGACAACGCATCTGCATTTTAATTCGCAAACGAAGATAGATGTAGATGTTTACGGGCCACAGCAACCACTTACCATCAGGTGGACTGTGTGCTCGTTTGTCACCTTTCTTGTATAAAAAAAATGCATAAACGGGTTCGAACTCTTTAAAGCAAAAATAAACCTTATACCATATCACAAAAGCACATGGTACTTCGTAGGTCTATTCGGCTATATAAATATATATATATATATATATATATACATATGGCCGAATATAAAAATATAGAAACAGCCGGTGAACTGATTGCTTTATAACCCACAGAAATAGAAAGCCTGTACCCAAACGTAGGACATCTATACAAACAAATAAAATTGAAGTGTGTGTTTGTAATGTCAAAATAACAGCTCTACTAATTGCATATAAAAGTATGTACGGTACCTATAACAGAAACACAATTTTTAAAATTTTTGTCTGTCTGTTTGTTCCGGCTAATCTCCGAAACGGCTGGACCGATTTTGACAGGACTTTCACTAGTAGATAGCTCATGTTATAAGGAGTAACTTACTTGAAAAATAATTAGGGTTTCGCGCAACAAAATTAAAATCCTAAACTACACGCGAAGTCGTGAGGAACAGCTAGTAAGTATATATGGCGTAACTTTACTTTTTACTTTATAAAGCCATCAATCTTCAGTTTTACACGATTAGCCAAGTTGACTTTCTACAATCATTAAGGATAATAGAAAACTAAAGTTACTTTGGAGATATTATGTCATTTCCATTTCATCAATTCTTTAAAACTAAATAAATTACCCAAAATATCAACAAACAGACGTCAAAAACTAACTAAATCTAGTTTTCACCGAAAACAGGTTATATCAAGTTTCTTCTTCACCAGCCTGTGAAAGCCCACAGCTGGACATGGGATTTGCCTTTTTAGCATGTCTCTTAGTAACAGGACGAAGTGGGTTGAAAGATACTCGTATATAGGGTTGCCATCCCCTAAAATGAAAAAGACGGACTTGGCGATCCAAAAAGCCGGACTTAATCCCGAGAGCCGAATTTTAGTCAAACATACCTTTCTGAGGCCATGCAGCCAATAAACTCACCAACTCCAACCCCCCGAGAAAAAAAAACTAAAATACTCCGTTACATACGTTAATTGTTTATTAATCAATCAAAGCACGGTTTCAAGTGTATACGTTACTTATTTATTTATTCTGCAAGCAATGCGTGCAACGCGTTACACTAACAAAAAGCCAGATAGGCCGGACACATAAAAATTTGGCCGGACGCAACCCGAAGATGGCAACCCTACTCGTATAGCGCCATACGGTGGCGTTTGATTATGCATTTTCAACTTTGACCATGAATAAATCTATTATTACGCCAAAGTTTAACCAACTGCGATCGGTTGATGCTTGCGGACTATTAAAACCAGCTAAACTTAAGTGTCTTGTCACTTTAAATTTTAGCATAGGTAACTAGTTTTTTTTAAACCAAAGAGAAAGGTAAAATAAATATTTTATTAAAGTTTATAATTTTTTTCGATCTGCTTCATACTCAAGATTGAAGCAAAATTTGCTGATCGTATAATAAATCTGTAGAATAGTTAGCTGGGAGAATCGTAGACAAAGAAGTGGTTCCTAGTATGTTTGTTTGACTGTCTGCCTATTAACGATTAACACAAAAACTACAGGTGGTGGTCAATACATGGTTTAAATTTTAAAAGGAATGGGTAGATAATTGGCACGTTTGTGAGATCATAATTTTGTTTTAGTGTACCTCTTATATGAAATGGAGTGAAACACCTATTAGGGTACACTGAAACCGACGTAATAAATCACAGCATACACCACACTCATAGACAAATTTAGAGAAACGCAAAAAAAAGATTTAATTTCTCCTGTTGTAATTATCGTGCGTACTATCCAAATCATTACCTAAATGCTATTAAAAAGTGTTCAAGATTTTTTTTTTTATAGGAGAGGGGGCAAACGAGCATGCGGCTCACCTGATGGTAAGTGACTACCGCCGCCCATGAACAACTGCAACACCAGGGAGGGAATTGCAGATGCGTTGCCGGCCTTTTAAAAAGGAGTACGCTCTTTTCTTGAAGGTCCCTAAGTCGTATCGGTCCGGAAAAATCGCTGATGGTAATCGATTCCACAAGGAAGTCGTGCGAGGAAGAAAACATCTTCTAAATCGCACAGTGGTGGACCGCCAATCATCCAGATGGTGTGGATGGTATCGGGAGTTCTGCCGCGATGTGCGTTCGTGAAATTTGGCGGCTGGGATTAATCCGAACAATTCCTCAGAGCACTCCCCATGGTAGATGCGATAGAAAATGCAAAGGGATGCAACATCTCTTCGCAGTGCCAATGAATCGAGCCGATCGGAAAGGGCTCGGTTGTCGACGATTCGAGCAGCTCTGCGCTGGATGCGGTCAAGTGGAAGGAGCTGGCACTGGGGAGCCCCTGCCCAGAGTAGTCTTGGGTAGTTCGCGAAGGACCTAGGTGGGAACAGCGCTCTTTTAGGTGAACTATGCGAACTAGTTCGTCGACAATCTCGCTCTTAGTTCTTAAAATATTTATTTTTCTGGCGTACGCTCTAGTATGGAGTGGTGCTGCATGATGGCTGCATGGCTAAACGACCGATTTATTTTTAATCTTACCGTTCTTACCAGAGTTTCTTGTTAAAGTATATGTAGGAAGTATAATGGGTATAGTACAGAGACGAATTTTGTAGTTAAGAATAATAATTAATTCGTTTACACGAATTAACTATCCAACAAGTCGAGGATAAACTAGTAACGGAATACGACAAACGCACCGTTCCACGTCAGAGCCAAGACTGTCTTAACGGCGGCCGCTCCGTCCGTTTTATACAAGCAGGACGGGCGGTAACGCAGGTGCGATGCCGCAGGTGTGCGGTACACGTGTAGTTAACAAGAATTCTGTCTAGCTAGACCGACGCCACCGCATCTACAACGGTGCAGGTGCCGTCACGGCCATACTGACATGCGTGCGTCCTCGCACGCGCTCTATCACAATTTTAGTTATCCGTAACAACTGTAATCTGTAAAACATCGTTCGATTATCCTGACAAAACAGCGTCTGGTCCGGTCTATACTGACCCTTCAGACTCTAGTGATAATCAGTTTTGTTCCGGCACTAAGCCCTACAAAACTTTTATCAACTTTATGCTAGATCGGAATAATTAGTCTGTAGCTTTTTCTATTTTCTCTTTTTTTTTTCAAGTACTGCTTTCGCTAGTCCGGAATAACTATTCCCTATAGCCATATCATTGGACCGGCACAAAGACCTGCAATGATTTTAAGAACTATTTTTTTTTCTTACACTTTTTTTTTAAGTACTATTTATGCTAGTCCGGAATCACTATTCCCTGTAGCTATATCATTGGACCGGCAAACGCCCTGCAATGATAGTAAGAACCACTTTTTTTTTCTTACTCTCTCTTTTTTTCAATTCAGTATAGAACAGTTACAGACCAACCATACCGCAAACATGTCCCCGTCACAATCACACAAAAGTGTATCGTGAGGGACGTAGTGACACGATAACACCTAAGTATGTAAACCAACAGCAATTCGACACAAATCCCAGTGCAGCACAGACCAGCCTCCCTGCAACTTCATGTTCCTTTCCTGCACTAGAATAATTACTTCGCTAGAGTGTTGCAACGTCTCTAGTATTTTCTAGATGCACAGACACGGCTAACTCTGACTCTCGCACGTCCTCGTGCGGTTGACAGTGAACAGCATACGGTCTATCAGTTATCACCACCTGCTAACAGATATTAACTCTTGTTAAATATTACAACGGTCGACCATCCCAGACTTCATTTAGGTCTGGAACGCGCCGATATGTCTACCTCCAGGCAAACGCACTCCAGCTTCCCGTTCTGCTGTGTCCGTGCCACATTCGCGCCAGCGAGCCGTCGCGCCGTACTAGCGCTAGCGAATCGTCGTACTGCTTTGCAAAATAAAAGAAATCGAGATAAATGTATTGCGAACCATGGAATTCCGAGCTTCCAAAATTCATCACACATTCTCTTAAGAAACGGCTACTGTATGACATTTGAAAACATTGCAAAAAAGGGAAACTATGTGTAGAGACAGATACCATCTACATATTTCAAAGGGAAGGAGGCAACTGCGCAAAATGTACGAAAGCCGACCAAGCCTCAGACGTTCATTTACAGCACCAAAGGACCATTGTGTTCGGCGGCCGCTTGAATTGCGTTGCCGTAAGATCTGCCGATAAGTTACAGACTGTAGCGGTGTAGGCTCAATCTTACTAGCGCTCGGCCGTACCTGACCATGTTCGATTAGCCATCACAACATCTTCCTCATTGATCATTGTTGTAGAGACTTCTACGAATCTCTCGACATCAAACCCCAATCTTGTCGACCACATAATATTTGGAGCAAACTGCAACACTGCTCAACAGATTAGAACACAAAAACGTCACTTATTATTTTTAATTCATAGCATGTTAAAGTTAATCCTTTATTTTGGTACATCCTTAAACATTTTGAACTTCAAAGTATAGCAAATGATAATCATGTTTCGCGTGAACTATCAAATCACAGCAAAACTTGAACAAGTTAAGTTTTCATTGAATGCAAACTATAACTACTAGAAAGCCTCCAACATTTCTTTCGACATTTGTTAACATATTTAGGTACGTCAAGAAATAATGAAAATACTTGCGGGTACTTTTAATACTAATCGAAAAAAAAGGATTAATCTTTTGGCTGAAATAATTTCACTTTATCTTTTCTCTACACTTTAATGATAGTACAATATCGTAAGTAGGACAGCAAATTTCATTACGGTATTTAACATAAAAAGAGATCCATCAATGCGAAATGCATTATAGCCTTTACAAATGTAATAATTCTCATACTACTCGAAGATTATATGTGGGCAATAAGGGGGACTTTATCCCACTTCTGATGTAGGAAGTATAATGGGTATAGTACAGAGACGAATTTTGTAGTTAGGAGTAATAATTAATTCGTTTACACGAATTAACTATCCAACAAGTCGAGGATAAACTAGTAACGGAATACGACAAACGCACCGTTCCACGTCAGAGCCAAGACTGTCTTAACGGCGGCCGCTCCGTCCGTTTTATACAAGCAGGACGGGCGGTAACGCAGGTGCGATGCCGCAGGTGTGCGGTACACGTGTAGTTAACAAGAATTCTGTCTAGCTAGACCGACGCCACCGCATCTACAACGGTGCAGGTGCCGTCATATATAATTTATAGTCTATAGTAAAAGTTTTATTAGTGCACAATTAACAAAAAATAACAAATATTGCTGGCTCACAATATTAATATGAAAGTGATAGTAAACAGTACATAAATACAATACCGTATAGTTCTCAATTCGATTTTACGGTAAATTTATTCAAAATTAAAATTTTACTTTACTATTTCTACTAATTTTAATAAATACTCGAATACAGTGCAACCTCAATATAACGAAACTGAATGGAATTAGAAAGTATTCATTATTATTCTAAGTAATTCGTTATAATGAGGTTCGTTATATACAGGTTAGGTGGAACTACGATTCGTTTTAACAAGGTAAGAAAACTTGTTTATTAATCTCAACATTACGTAAATAGTCACCTGCCTGTCGTGTACGTGTATGAACCTGTCAAGGCATGATATGTTGTGGAATTAAGTGGGAATAATTGATAGGATATGTTATATCAAGATTTCAAGTAGAAAAAAATTGTTGAATAGAGCTATAATAGCTTCTATATATGCAATAATTAAAAATTCGTTATAAAGATGTGTTTGATAAAATCTATTCGTAATGTAGAGTTATATTTTGCATTAGCTCTTACAGGCAGTTCTAGGGGATTTCGAAAAATTCGTTAAATCGAGGAATTCCTTATATTGAGGCTTGTTATATCATGGTAACACTGTGTTACTATGTTACATTAATTAGCGACATGTAATCTATAAATTGCAGTTGTGTTATTTTCATTATTTCAATACACTTCAAAAATATAAAAACCTGTTTAGTTTCGTTTATTATATTTTATTTTAATTTACATATCATGAAATAGTTCTTGATAAGTATCTTGCACATATTATATATTATGTAGTATATTACATACTAATACTACATTAATATTTATTTACTGATATTCATCTTTTTTAATTAGATCTACTGAAAAATTAAAAAAAGAACTAATGAACTAAATGAGCGAACTAGTTCGCTATAGGACTACGAACTAAATTGAGCGCTCTCAATGGCGACCGACTATGTCCAAGCCTAGCCCAGAGATGGGAACAGTATTCCATGTGAGGCCGAACCTGCGCCTTGTAAAGTTGCAGGCGGTGTGTCGGCATGAAATACTGTCCCGCTCTGCTGAGCACGCCAAGCTTTTTAGAGGCCAATTTGGCCTTGTCTTCAAAGTGACCACGAAACTGCACGTCACTCGATATGTCGACTCCGAGGATACCGATACTGGCTGAGGCAAGAAGGAGAGTGCCTTGAAACTGAGGAGATACGACAAAGGGGTTCTTTTTAGCGGTTAACGCGCAAACTTGTGTCTTCTGAGGATTAAACTGGACTACATTTAGTCGCCCCCAATCCGAGACTGTTCAGCAAAGACTCGGCTTCAGACACAAGTTTGTTCCGGTACTCAGCGACGTTTTCCCGAGAAATATTGGCACGGGCGGTGTATAGAGCATCACCAGTGCTGTCATCCGCATAACAATGAATGTTACTAGTTAGCAACATATCATTGATATGCAGAAGAAACTGCGTTGGTGATAGCACACAGCCTTGTGGAACACCAGCGTTAATAGGCTTGTACTCAGAACATGCACCGTCTACAACGACCTTGATGCTCCGATCTGCAAGGAAGCTGGTGATCCAATTGCACAATTTCTCGGGAAGCCCATAGGAAGGGAGCTTCGAAAGAAGCGTTTTTTTGCCAAACCCGATCGAAGGCCTTCGCAATGTCCAGACTAACGGCCAACGCCTCCCCATTGGACTCTACTGCCTCCGCCCATCTATGGGTCAGGTAGACCAGAAGATCACCAGCTGATCGACCCCGACGAAAACCGTATTGGCGGTCCGGATCAACTGGCAGTTAATAATGGATTCCATTATTTTGGAGAACAAGGAGGTGATCGCGATAGGCCTATAGTTGGACAGGTCTGAGCGGTCGCCTTTTTTAGGGATCGGGTGGACGAAAGCTGTCTTCCATGAGTTCGGGACTACGCCTTGGGAGTAGGAGTACCGGAAAAAACGCGTTAGGACCGGTGCCAACTCCGGAGCACACGTCCTCAGCACAATTGGGGGGATTCCGTCAGGCCCACTCGACTTCTGGATGTCCAGGGAGAGAAGTGCTTTGCGAACCGAGCGCTGTGAGAATAGCACATCCGGCATGGAGCACTCACACAGCGGGATGGTCGGCGGTGTTTTCCCCCCGTCATCAAGAGTCGAGTTGGATGCAAAGAGGGAACCTAAAAGGTCGGCTTTGTGTTTTGCGTCTTGGGCCAGTGAGTCGTCCTCCCTGTGCAGAGATGGTAGTGATGGCTTACAGAAATTCCCTTGGACAGCCTTGGCGAGAGACCAGAATGCACGGGTTCCCGAAGGAAGGCGAACTAGTTTCTCGCCAATTCTGCCTATGTGCTCTGACTTTGCCATAACTCTTTTGAAGGACCTGGAGGCGAAGTTATACTTCTTTTTAAGTGTGCTGGTGTTTACATCCCGAGTCACCGAAGCCGCAGCCCAGGCTTGATAACACTCCTGCTTACTGCGTAATGCAGTCTTACAGGAGCGACCAAACCAAGGCTGAGATCTGCCTCCGATGGGTACCACAGATGATGGAATAAATAGTTCCATTCCCTGTAGCACCACATCAGTGACAGAGTCAGCAATAGCGCTGGGATCATCCGGCGAGAAGCAAACCCGCCCCATGGGTAGGAAGCAAAGAAAGACCGCATTCCGTCCCAATCCGCCGACCTGTAATGCCAAACACGGCGGCAACCTGCAAAACGCAACCGCGAGGGGAGCGTGAGTGGCACCACAATCCGGATCAGACAATGGTCCGAAGAGCCGAGGGGCATCGACGGAAACCTGATATCCGTCCGGATGAGAAGTCAGCAGAAGGTCCAACAGGGAAGGTGTGCGATCTTCCACATCTGGAATCCGCGTAGGCGAAGTAACCAGTTGTGTCAGATCATATGCCAAGGCAAAGTCATAAACAGATCTCCCCGCATGATCGGTTAAACGTGAACCGAGCCATTCTGCGTGGTGGGCGTTAAAATCGCCAAGGATCACGATCTCTGCGGATGGCACCTGTTGTAGCATGGAATCTGTAGCCATTTGGACGTGGTCGATGAGTCGGTCTGTTTCGGCATTACCGCTATGGGACCTATAGAGGCACCCGTAGACGCGCGGATGGTCGTCGCTGTCTACGCGTAACCAAAGGATGGACAGGTCCGAACCTTCAAGACTGCCGAGGCGTCGAGAACAGATGTCCTCTCTGACATACACTTGTTGTTGCTTTTATTAGATACAGACAACATAATAACAGAAATGGCCAAATATATATATTACATTGCGAAAACAAGTCATATAAATACGCATACAAAACATTGCAAAAAGACTAAAGAAACTGGAATGAAAGCCTTGACAGTACAGCTACACTTTGATTTACAATCGAGGATAGATGTATCTGCATTGCATTAAGTTGCAGTAGTTTTAGTTTCGACTCGTTTTTCTATAAACACATAGAGGTGTGTTAGTTGTTGGCTAATTTCTAATAAAAAATGCAGCATATTTTGAAAATTATTTTATTTATCAAAGTCACATGACGAAAAAAAAAACTGTCACGAGTGCCACTTTGTGATAACACAAGTCTGAAATTAGAACCATGAACGAAAAAAAATTTAAATCCAGCTACGCGTAACATACTCCGACAGCAGATGAAGCTATAATACAAAAGAAATAGATATTTTTAATAAAGATTACAGAACCATACTTACTTGGTTTCACAATGCTCCATATCATTCAATTAATATCTCCGACATGTAATTTGGGTTGTGAGCAGGTGACAAATAAATGTTAAAACATAAATACTTACATGTAGATGACATCTCTTCTGCGTGACTTGCTATCCAAAATGAGAAAATTAAATGGCTACTTACAATATGGAAACTAACAGTAGACACCATTATATCAGCTACTATTTACAGCTATAAAACTGGTTACTAATCAGTCATCTGCACCTGATATCTGAGAAAAAAAACATGCTGATTTTACACTGCTAGTGGTGATGCTGAAACAAACCCAAAAAGCAACCGCGATAGAACTAAAAAGGCTAAGAAATCGAATTTGATACATTATTCTTGTAATAATGTATGGCTTTCATATTAAATTTTAATTTTATGTCATTAATTAATGAACCATTTTTAGATTTGTACAACTTTCATTATATTTTCTTTGAAAGTATGTCCATTCTTTTAGTCAATTTCATTATTTAAGTAATGATGTCATATTTGTATTATATTACATCTCATAGTTTAATTTGTATTTAGTAGTTGCTCCGCCTTCTAAATTGGGCGCCATTGTTACGGAAGTCCCTTCTACCATATCCTCCTCTACCCCTCCCTGAATAACTTCCAGTAAATCGACCACTATTGTTCAATCTTGAACTATATTTGCCAGATGGCGGTGTGTACATTTTTAGGTTTCTGTCACCGCTCCGTGATCTTTTTTCAGGAGATTCTTTTTTCTCTCCGTTGTCAAAGGTAATTGGTCGATGACGTTTCTGACCCCCTGATTCTTTGTCTTTTTCATTCAATGTTTCAGACAGCTTATCCTAAAATAAAAAATAAATTTAAAATAATATTACAAAACTAACATATTTTCATATGCTTCAAATTTTATGAATATAATAAAAACAAACCTCTTTCTCTGTTTTTTTTGATTGGAATGAAAGATGAACTTTACTTTTAAAGCTGGGTGGTGTCCGGAATATGTCTCGAATAAGAGTGTTTATGTTCGAGGTGGTATTCAATGCTGCAATTTTTATTTTATTTTCTTCGGAGTTAGTGTCTGTTTTTTTGACCTGTTGGAGTTAAAAAGATCCAAAATTAATATTTAATAATTAAATTTGACTTCATTTATATAATCCAACTTTTATTAGTGTGGGGTCTATGTAATGCAAGTTTATCATATTCACCATTTTTAAGGAAATGGTTTATAACAAGAAAGTCCACTTATCCATATTATATCATATAAGTACCAAAAACCTTTAATACTTGGCTAGCATTGCATCACCTCTTCAGTATCCCCTCGTTATCAACTGAACAGCCGAGGCATAATTTCCTCGCGGTGATAGCAGTTAACGAATCGAAGAGAACAGAGTATACTGTAAACTCTGTACATTATAGTACTTGTCTCTTTATTAATATATGACTAGAGATCAATACCAAAATACGAGCGAGATTAGTCTGTTCTTACTACTACCCTGGACCTCATGTGGACCACTTCACAACATAAGCAATGTGTCATTCATGAGTAGCATGAGAACAAACAGCAGGTTGATTTACTGATCAAACTGCAAATTGCATGATGACAGCTTGCGAGTGTGGAGCAGAAATTCTTTATAATGACAAATCATAATTCACTATTACTTGAGGTGAGGCGATACAGTACCAGATTGGATAAGCGAGTGTATGGATGTATAAGAAAATTTCTTAAAGAAGGGTGGCAAGTGAGCTCGTAACCCATCTTATGATTAGTAATTATATACACATGCATCAATCCTCAATTAAGAAATAAAATGCATATTATGTTGTCACCTCTGATAATCAAGATTAAATTACTTTAAAAGAGTAGCAATAACAAAGACTTACTTCTGTCACTTCCTTCAATTTTTTTATGTATCCTTGAGTTAATCTTGCTGTGTACTGAAGCCGTAAACGGAGAGCCTTGAGACGAGCTGCATCATTACTTAGTACTTCAGGCGATTTGCGGCATAAAGAGTGCAGTGCAAACAGTGCACATTCGACATGCGAAAATTGTAATGATGGTGCTGTATTAGTTTTAACTTCTTCTGTTTTAGCTTCCGCAGTTTCAGACTTTTCATTTACACTTTCACCTTCAATTGGTGCTTCTGGAAGGTAATTCTGTTTAACAAAAAGCTATATTGTAGTTACCTGTACTAGAGTTTTACTATTTATATAGATGATATATATATATATATATATAGTATAGAATAGATAGGCCAGGGGCCAGGGCATACACTAAAAACTTTATAGATGACCATTCCTATATATTTCAACTTGAGTGATACTAATTATAAGAGTTCTTTTGCATGCAAGAAATTGTAAATAAGCAAAATTCACTGTTTATTGGGATAAACATAAGCACTTAAATGTTGTTGTTGCAGCCAATATATTGTTTTATTAGTGTGTACAGGTCCCACTTCATTTACACCATCTCAGGGCTTGAAGCAATTTGTACGCTGCTTCAATGCATGTTGGCAGACTTCAAATGTTCTCAAATTATTTTATTCCTCAGATATATAGGTTTCCTCACGATTGTTTCTTCACCGTGGTAAATCAGCACTTCAAGTTGTAAATAACAATGTCCTTGGTACTAGCAGGGATCAAATCAAGGTTGCTAGCATACTGTGAAATTTACAGCAAGCGCTTAACTCCTGAACTACCAAGTCACTAAATATGTATAGGCTTGGCTTATATATATAGTATGGGTTTGTATGAACAACAAACGAGCCAAAGTCATATAATTAAAAATTTTGTACTGCTGACTTCAACATAAGTTATTAAAAATAACTCAAAAACTATTGGTCTGACCTTGATCAAATGCATATGGGACTACACGAGAAGTACCAGCTTTCATATAAAAAGAATCATCGAAATCTGTTCATCCAGTAAAAAGTTATGAGGTAACACACATAAAAAAAACATACAGTCGAGTACCGTCTCCTTTATGAAAGTCTACAGAAAAATACTAAGTAGCTACTAAAAACTTCAACATGTTGGTAAATTTACAGAAGTATTGCTAATTTTTATAGGTTTAATTTATTATATTTCTCTAATATTGAATTAAATAAAATATAAGAATGAAATGTACAGTTGAAAATACAGTTATAAATTGATGACTTAAACTTGGAACAATTTCCATAGGTGAAATGCAACATAATAATGGTGTTTTTAAAAAGTGATTGAAAAGTATATTTACCATTAATACATCATAAACAGTATCAACTTTCTTCTGCAAGTTCTCCAAATCTCCACAAAATTCAGTTAATTCGGCAAATATTTTCAATAATTCTAACTTAGTATCATTTCCTTCAGATGTAGCTATATCGTTCCATTTCTCCAAAATATGTTCACAAAAGAAATTGACAAACTGTGTAGATTCTACTTGAGCCTGTAATTTAATTAATATTATATTTCTATCTGGCATAAATATCTATTATAAATATTAAATATGTGTCAAAAACAATGATATAGTTAATTTATATAAAAACTTACAGAAAATAAAGGCAAAGCATGTTGAGAGCATTGTATCACCCTGTCTACATATTCAGGATCTTCTGGATTCCAGTCGTCTGGGGTAAAAGCAAGAGCTGCAACTAGTTGAGTCAATTCCTTTTTGCCTGCTGGGGTTTTACCTAGTCGAGACCATGTTAGTAGGTCCATGATATGTTCAAATTCTTCAGCAACAACATCCTAAAACAATACAGGTATAGTGTAAATATTTGCATTTCATTTATTTGTTCATAATTTATTTGTAGTTTCAATTGCCAATAAAAATAAAAAGAGATGCTAGCCCCTTTGGCATTTGATATCCTTAAGACTAGAGATTAGCCTAAAATCATCAGAAACAAAAAAAAATATTAGAGTAAATATAAATGTTACAGGTGTAATTTTTTAGTTGGTTGATATGCTCTATCAACACCACAGGTAAATACAGCTCATACTTTTGATGATAGTTTAAACAAAAATTCACAGCCATCTGAATATTTAATATCAAACTATAAAGGACTTTAACAAACCTCTAAAATTTTTTTACATTCTGCAATTATAAGATCCTCTGCTTCTTTGTTGATGACCTCCCTACCGAGTTGTTTCACTTTAGTAGCCAAAAATTTGATACATCTCTCCCTGACAATATCATTAGTAACCTCACTATCTGTACTCTGGTGTATCTGAGAGAATAGTCCTGTCAGTGCTCCTTTGGGGTCATTCTTTAAAATTGTCACCAATGAATTTGTAACGACATTTATTTCTGTAGCATCATCTGACTGTAAAAGTTGTGCTAAAATATCAGCAATTCGTTGAGTATGTTCCTTATTAGTTTTGCACATAATTGGCAAGTCTTTTATTGCTTGTTTACGGATCTGAAAAATAAGTTTTATTGACAATATTTAAAAGTAATTAAAAAATAAAGTGCATTTTTATTAGAGGTTCTTTAAAACAAAACTTTTTGATCAAAGTTTAACACCTTGTTGTTAAGGGCTGCACAATAGCTAAGGGTTGAACTGTGGCACTCTGCAGGCCACTGAAATTCATGGGACTGAATCTAATATAAAATATCAAATAATAAAATATATTGTATCTATAAATAATTTTCTCGTGTGAATAAAGATATCCTATTATTATTTATTTATGTAAAATACCTCAAAATTAAAATAGACTGAAGGACAAGGCAATTAGACTTTTTTAAATAATTTTACAGTTGACCGCTAAAAATAGCTTCCATTGTAATCAAAACAAAAACACATAAAATCTTGTAAATGTGGCTCAATTATACAAAATCTACAACTGATTTGAAAGTTTAAATTTTTATGAGATGATTTGTTAGTATATTCTAAAATATTATATTGAGGAAACGCATAGTTTTTCATATATTTATTTTAGCATAAATGAAATTACCAATTTTGAAAATTTAAAACACCCATGTTGTTTTAAGTCTACTAAATGTGCATGTTACTTAATGTAAACTGTTACAGTCTACAAATGATCTAGTTTTATGTGACATTGGTCACCTAGTGGTTCAATTCCGTAATTATGAACCAAGTGATTAATCAGGGCAAACAGAATAATGACAAGTCAAATCGGGCTATATAATTAATACTGATTTAAACTTCTCTGGTCATTATAAATATTGCTATATAACTTTTGAACAATTTGATATTACCTAACCTAACCAACTAATTGTGTTAATCACTTTTAAGACAATAAGTAAATATTGGTACATTATTTACTTATTGCCTATATGTGTACCTGAAGTTGACAAGTGTAAAAAAACAACTTTCCAGTATCAAATAGCAGCAATGGAGTATTCATTCTTTGCTTTACAACGAAAAAATGTATTTGATGAAAAATTTTATTTCCATTGTGTTTAAGTATTAAATGAGACATAAAAAAACCTAACCTAACCTATCTATTTATTACTCTGCCCAGCATGTACTGGGCTTAATTCATAAAGTCCGGTCAATTTAATTATTTCATTAGTTTTTATAACATTACCTCATTGGTACTGGGCTTTATTCATACTCCCTGTAAATTATGAATAATGCCCTATTAATCACTTGGTCCACAACATATACACTATTAATATTACTACATTAGTAGTGTATAAATTCCTCCCTCAGTAATAAGAGGGCTATGACCAACAGACAAAAAATCAAAATCAAAAAATGTTTATTCTGTAACTCTTAGTTGTAACCCTGCATAAGCTAGTTTATATTTAAATTTAAAAAAAAAATGACAAGAACTAATAATTATCATGTCAATCTTGATTGCTGGTTTAGAACATGATTCAAAAAAAATCTACAACTTGTTGAACAAAAATGAATGTGAATTGGTTGATTTTAGAAATTATATTAATTTATTTTATTATTCATTCTCCACAATTTTAGTTAATAATGTAGGAAAAAATCCCCTGAATTTTTAAAGAGGTTAATTCAAGTTTTAAATAATGTTATCCATTCATCCATCCAATACAGCCTATAAAATCCACTACTGATATAGGCCTCCTACATAGACTGCCTCATAGGATGATTTTTCCATAGTTGCCATGCTACTCTTGTGGCTTGGGAACTGCAATTTTTTTTAATATTGTGAGTTGATATCAAGGCTGTCGCTTTCTACGAGCGACACCCATGAGACTTTAAGGGGTAGTGGATATATTACACCGCCACTACAGGGTATAATAGTTATTGTTATAATAACAGTTATATATGGATATAAATGGTACTTACAGCGACGTCGTCATCTTCACATAAGTCAAATTGAGCTTCAATGGCTTGTTCGGCAAGGTTAGGAAAGCTGTTAAAAAATTTTGCAATAAACTGTGACGCTAAACGTTTTTCTTTGTCGGACCCTTTTACTGCTGCCAAAATCTCCAAATATTCTTTCTCATGCTTAAAACATAAACAAAAAATATTAAACTACTACTACTACTACTACTACGATAAAATGATATCCTAAATTATGCAGGTTACCTTTGATATGTCATCTTTTGCATCGGCCAGAACACCGTAGTTCTGATAAAGCTTTTCAATATTATCAGTCGACATTGTTTTTCTCAGAGGTATATAATACCTAGCTTAAAAAGTATAAAAGCGACGGACGATCACACCACACCACTAGAAAATAAATGTAAACTAGTAAACACAGACAGACGCGCTCACAATCTCTTTGTATTTTATTATATAAAAGTACTCTGTGTATTTTATATATATGAAAATCAGTCGGAGTCAGACATTTTGGTTATTGTTGTAGTCGTAAACTTTAATTAAGGTAGGCAAAGATCTTAGACTATACAGCCTAGTCTGGAGTCTGATTTGAATTTTGTTCATTACAAGCTGAAGTGCACTGGAAGATTTTGACGACAGCCCCAACGGACTTTACACACACACACACACAAAACCATGCCTTAATACATAAAATCATACCATTTCTATGTATCAAAACCCTCTTCAAACTATTAATCAAATGATTAAAACAAGAACATTAATCGCCGGCTGTTATTGTAAGTTCACGCCACAAAAATATTTAGGATTTCTTATTAATTGTGGCATTGGCTACATAGTCTTTAGCCAAAAAGAATACACTCTGCACCTTAGAGCCCGGGTGGTAATTTTTATACAAATATTCCTAGCCTTATGTCTACGGCCCTCGAAAATTGACTTTGAGAGATAATGAATAAATTACTGATTTTGACGTTTCTGCCCACCCACGAGACACGTGCCGACGCCATTATTAAACTATTAATTTATAGTTAATTAATTAATGTCTGCCTAACATGTACGACGCCATATTTGTGTATTATTTAAAATTTAAATAGAATATGTGTTCAAGAACTTTTATAATAAGTTGCATGTGTACCACAACAACTTTGAGCTGTGATTCGTTATCTCGAATACATCTCGTATTCACCTGCACGGCTAGCATGGGCTGGGGACAAATAAATTATCCACCGATTATATCCACTGACAAGGGATAAAATTATCTTGTCCTTATGCCAAAGCACGGCAACGGGGAGAAGTATATCTCCGTATAACATAACGAGTAGACATATATCCCCCATCCGTAGTATGGAGCAAAATGAAAGATAAAAAATTATGCTTTTTTGATATTTGAAACGGACAATTTTATCCTAGTTCATTAGACGTGGGCTTAATATAAAATTCATACAAAAAATCTATCTAAGTCTAAGTTTGTCTCCCATTTTATCTACTGTGGATATTATATCCACCGGTGTGCCCCATGCTTCTTCTTCAATCTTCGAATTGGATAAAACTAAGCGAGGGATAAACATTTTCTCCTTTCCCCGGGGATAAAATTGTCTGCTTCCCATGCTAGCCCGGCAGGATGCATATCCCACGTTGTTTACGGAAGATGAGATCACGACTGGAATTCCATTAAGAGTAAATACAAAGACGGCCGGCAGAATTTTTCTATTCAATTTTTCAAATGACAAAAGACAACTGTAGTATATTTAAGTAAATTATACATTTTCTAACTTTACACTTATAGAATAATTTTTACAACGTATAAAGTAATAAATTGTTTTTTTACACTTGACATTACTAGTACCAGTGATACTAAATGGTGTGTGACTGACTTTAATATGCTCCTGACAATTATCTTTAAAATGCGTGACCACTTAAGGCGCATATAATACATATAAAAAGTGAGACTTTTTAGTCAGAATATTTAATAGTATATTACCGCATATCAAATTCATGCAAATCAGATAGTAATTGAAAAAAGAGTATTTATATTTAATCTATTTTCAGTATTCCTGATAATAATATATATTTTGATACATTATGTTTAATGTCCATGTCACACCTATGCCGGTAGTTGTTGGAAGCACTAAGCTGGAAGTAGTTGACGAGTATGTTTACCTGGGACAAATAGTCCGACTAGGTAAGTCCAACTTCGACCGAGAGGTCAATCGACGGATTCAACTCGGCTGGGCAGCGTTCGGGAAGCTACGACACATCTTCTCGTCAGACATACCTCAAAACCTTAAAACGAAATTGTACAACCAGTGCGTGTTGCCACTGATGACATACGGATCTGAGACGTGGTCCTTCACTGCTGGTCGTATGAGGAAGCTCAAGATCACTCTGCGAGCTATGGAGAGGGCTATGCTCGGGGTTTCTCTGCGTGATAAACTTAGAAATGAGGATATCCGCAGTAGAACCAGAGTAACCGACATAGACCAACGGATTAATAAGCTGAAGTGGCAGTGGGCCGGCCATATAGCTCGAAGAACCGACAACCGATGGGGAAGAAAGGTTCTTGAGTGGCAGCCACGTACCAGTAGGCGAAGTGTAGGGCGACCCCCCACGAAATGGAGTGATGACCTGGTAAGACATACAGGAAGTCGATGGATGCAGGTGGCTCAGGACCGTGCTTTGTGGCATTCCTTGGGGGAGGCCTGTGTTCAGCAGTGGACTTATGAAAGGCTGTAATGATGATGCCAGCGTAACTTGTCTATCTCTTCTTCTAGCTCCACGATCTCGTCAGTCCTCAGGGTGCGTGCGTTGTATGTTGCCAGGTCGAGTCGTTTTAGGTGGCAACCGAACCTCCACCGGAGATTCTTAGCACCCCCCTGCCCCGCCGTTAACATGGTCGTCACCGTAGCCAGGAATAGCGGGGCCGCCGGGGACTGGGGACCGTCTCTTTGTTACTCTCATCATAGGGGGGTATTTGCCATAGTTGCCACGCTTGGCGAGCGGGTTGGCAACCGCAGTTTCTTATTGTAAGTTTGTTGTTATCAGGAAGATGCTGCTGCCCATCTCCTGCCTGTTTCCTTTTGTCGCCTTTTACGACACCCACGGGAAGATATGGGGTAGTGGATATTATTAACCGCCACTACACTGTTGTAATAGTTAATCAAAAAAATCTTATGGATGTTCGGTAGATTGCAGAATATCTGTAAATATAGCCATATCTAATTTCTCAACTGGCGATGAAAAAGTAGAATGTGGATGCCATTCTGCCAAGTTTATCGGTAGATTGTTTACAAGCTAATGTGATGTTAAACAATTTAACTATTTTATTCAACTGTAACTCATTTGTTTATGTTGTATTTTATTTTATGAATAACTTTTATGCCGCCATTGAAAAATTAGCCATTTGGACTTTTGCAATACTCACACAATATTAAATAATATTATACCACCTTACAAAGTTTGCCAACTCATTATTACTTTTTGAAACCAATTTTTATGTTTCAAGTTAAAAATTATTAATAAGTTTAAATTATATTTTTTGCTTGTGGTGTTCATGGTAATGAGGTGAGCCAAACATTGAGGAACACTGCATCAACTGGTAAATGGGGCAAGAAGCACAAAACACAAAAGCCACAATAGGAAAAATTTAAGAAAAGTCGCTACATCAACATCAGTTGAATTCAATTGAATATTTATACCTTTGTGGCAAAGAATCACCAGTTATTAGATAGAAAATTGGATTGTAACTATAAGAGTTTTCAAAGGTTGTGGCAATTCAAGAAGGAAAGAATTTGCCTCCAATGATAAAAAAGCACTTGTAAATTTACACTGAAATATAAAAATAAAAGACTTAAAAAAAATATTACTGATTTTATTTTATTTTTTTTATACTTAAATGAAAATTATTAATGGTTTAGATTTATGTACATGTTCACATTGTAAAAACTTACATAAATTTAAACCGATAAAGATAAATTTTCAAAGTTCTAAGAGGATTCTAATCCTACTATGGTTGTTGTTGTTGGTTTTATTATTCGTTCGAGAGAGCAGGCAAAGGAACTAAGCTATTCAGCCTTGTCTTTTTTTATTTTGAATATTTAGAATTTTAAGCTTCACAATATGTTGATGCGTCACATTGTGCCCTTGGGAGATTTTGACGGCAACTTGAGCCAGCAAAGAGCTGACAGTTGGCGATGGTATCTAAAGGCGCCTATGCAAACAAACAGCTTATCTTAAGAATCCATCAGCATCAGAGCACTTGTTTCACCGTTTCCACTAATAGTTCACATGCGTAGATAGTTAATACATAAAATCGCACCACTTTTACATATCAAAATCCACTTCAAGCTATTATTTAAACTATAATACAGGAGCAGCAAACCGCCGCCGGTCAAGGTCCCACCAAAACTCTTAATCCTACTATGGGGTTTCAGGCTGAAGCAAATACATGCCTTTGCCTTAGAATAATTTTCAAAACTAAATGTCACTTTTAATTCTTGAGGCTCGCTATTGGCCATTTTTTAGTACGGAAGACGCATTCGGTAGAATCTACTAGGTAATTAGTCTGTGAGAAGAGGGTCGTCTGCGTCATAGACATGTCAATCCTCTATCTACGGTCTGGTCTGCGTAGATAGGTCGTCTGTGCCGTAGATTGAGGATTGATGATTTTTTTCTACATCATTAATTGAGAATATTATCTTATGTTGTTGTGTTATTGTGTACCTTAAGATTAAGACTTATTTATTTATTTATTATTTTATCTATGTTTATATTTATTTTTATATTAGTATGACATATTTTTTTTTAATAAATATTGTAATGTAATTGTTGCTAATGTATATTAGAAATAATGGAATGCAATAAAGTTTTGTGCATCTGATTTCAGGCAATACATATTTTGTGAAATTAAATATACTTTGCCCAATGTTTATGTACTTGAATCCAATCATGTTTTCAGGTTGATACTTACATAATATTATTTGTGACGTCTATGTAATATGGAAAATGGTTGAAGAGTTGTAGGGCAATAAGGAGTTTCCTTTAAAGCTGAACATAAGTAAAAGTGTATGTATATGTATAACATTATGTGATTCATATTTATGGACATTTTAACTACTAATCACAATAACAATTATTATTCAACAATGCGAAAACATTATTGTACTCGCTGATATCCCTAAAGTTACTATAATCCTACCAAATCAAAAAGTACATGTTTGTTATGACTTTAAGCTTTCGAATGACCGTTCAAATTAAGGAGCATTATCATGAAGAATTTACAATTTGGGAGTCCAAATATTTGACAAAATACATCACAAAGTTCATTAAACACATGAAATGTTACACTTTATATTCAAAACAATAGATATTAATCAGTACAAGTAGCAAATGTAAGCACAAAACAAACTTACCGATGAAAGTTAATATTATCAATTTTTCGTTGACTGATGCTGTTGCATCCTAAAATGCTACAACTTACCATCTTTTTAACCTTACCTAATAACTAAAACCCA